CCCCATGGTTAAGCCACGGCCGAGATGTCTCGGCCACACCCCAGACTGGCCACGGCCGAGATTCGCAGGCACTACCCTTCGCGTTTGCAAACGCGAAGTCTCAAGAGTAGCCTACTCCAAAGAAGTGGGGGGCTCGGGGCAGGGATGGAGGCCAGAAAAAGAAAAAAGATAAAAAAAAAGTAAAGAAAAGAGGAACTTGGAATCCGCCTACTTCTGGAAGGCCCTCAGGTCAAGGGTGCTTTGAGGAATGTATCTGGCCAGGAAGTGGGGAACATGAAACACGTCGATTTCCTTTTTGTTTCTTGTTGTGAGGTCCCTGTAGCGCCCTGCCAGCCAGGCAGGGCGGATTCAAGGCTTCATTGAGTTCCAGACAAGTACTGTAGTATCCTGTATCGGACCGCAATCACAGCATAAGGGATGTTTTTTTTGTTTTTTTTGTTTATCTGCTGTTCGTGGATAGACGAGGGCCCTGACTGAACTGCATAGGGTCGAGTTTCAACTGCAATTGAAACTGGGGCCCAGTCTCAACTGCAATTGAAACTCGGGCGCTGACGAAAATGCTAAAACGCAGTTTCGAATGCAATTGTTAACTGTTTTGGTGACTGCGCCAAAGTTACCCCTAAAAAATATGTTTGGGGGAAGTAGGTTGTCAATCGGCACCATTTCATTCAATACTCGCCCGAATCTGGACGTGTTTGTAGCTCTGTGCGGTAATCAGGTGTGTAGGTATGTTTGGGGGAAGTAGGTTGTCAATCGGCACATTCAATACTGATGATATAGTAGCACCTGTCACTCATGATCCCTCTATTATAATTGTATCTGCTTACGCGACTGTGACATGGCATTGCAGGCAATTGTTCGGGACGTGCCTTTTCTCCACCGTCGGACGAGGATCATCATTCCACTACAGCAGGAAGAAAGACAAAGGCAAGCAGGCCAGCCATGAAGGCGTCCATGGGAATGGCAGCCCTCGCGGCTGTTGCGTTCCTGTTGCTGGTTGCGTTATACCAGCCCACGGTTGGGGGTGCTTATCTGTGCAACCCCGGTAAAGATCAGGATGCATATACGTACAAGAAAATCAACTGCCTGAAAGTGGCTGGTGCGGTAAGCTATGAGGGATGCAGCGGCGCGTGTGAGGGCGAGCACAAATGCAAAGGCTTCGTCCATGCGGCATACGATTGGTCCAAGGGCAAGTACTGCTGCTTCCTCAAGTCCAAGATAGACAAAAGCAAATTTCGGTCTCAGGCTGGTCGCGAAACATGCAGGAAGGTATACTTTTAAGACGGATTCTTCCAGGTTCGTTCTCTTGCCGCAGGTGGGTAGGCAGCGACAGCACAAGGAGTTTAGAGAGACTGCTCACAGGGATGTCTCAGTTCACATGTTGCGAGGCTTTCCACCCCCGAACGTCCGCTTCCCAATCAGCTAGAGCGGAACCAGGAAAGGATTTGCATTTCTTTAAGTATGGTACTCGGTGACTGCCTTTGAGGTCCCTTTTCCTCATGAAATTATGCCAGATCAACAGCCCCTCATAGGTTACTGAGCTCGATGCAGCGTCATCATCATCATCATCATCATCATCATCATCCTCATCATCCTCATCATCCTCATTACTTACATTTCTTGGAGTATGCTCAGTGACTGCCTCTGAGGTCGGTTGGCTTGCCAAATGCTAGATCACCAGCTGTCAAATGATACTGACTTCTATGCATCATCATCATCATCATCATCATCATCGTCATCATCGTCATCATCATCCTCATCCTCCTCATCATCACCGTCATCGTCAACGATTCGTCGTCATTATCATGATAGTGACCGTCACATTTCTGCCAAGGGCATATTAAGAACTAGGCCAGTGGACTTCCTTGCACTGAGAACACGATGTCATCTGCAATTCTCTCTCAGGAGTACGGCTCGGCGCTTGCAAAGGTCCAATGAATGGCATTTAATTTGATTGTTGTATGAGATTCTGATTTTTCTAGCCTCTCCCCAGCATTGCGCTCCAGTCAGCCTGGTGAGCTTACAACGGAGTAAACTGTGTCTGTCTTTATCCAGAGTGGAGAAGACTGGTCAAGTACCTGGTGTCACTGATGTAATCATCGTGACTACTTAAAAAAATGTGCGTGCGGCTTTGTAATACCAGAGATTGATTGTCTCGAAGTCTGCAGCCACTATCCTCCTCGTCTTCCTTGTTCACCAATGACCTCGTATTCTCCTCTCTCTTGTCCTGTCTTCTCTTTTCTTCTCTTCTCTTATCTTATCTTCTCTTGTCTTTATTTATTTTACTTTATATATTTTATATATATTTTTTCGTTTTTTTGTGATTTTATATCGTATATTATTTAACTTTTCGAATCAGTTTTGTATTATGTGAAGTAAACATATGTGAAGTTGCAGAGCATTTGGCAATGCCAAAAACAAATAAAAAATTGCCAAAGATGGTGGTGTCGAAAATGGGCTTGTGCACTGACTACCTGAGTGGCCCGAAAGTCACTTGCCCGCCCGGGCAAAACAAAATTTTTTGTTCGGTGAAGAATGTCGATGTGACCCTGAGGCAACAGTTGTTCAGTTTGTTTTTCTGCATACCACCCGTCCTTTTCGGAATTGTACTACGGCAAAAAGAAACAAAAAAATAAAAAAATAAAAAACTTATTATTAATTTCGTATTTTTCTTTTAAATCCGGTAAAGAATTTCGATGTGATTCTGAGGCAGAAAATGTTCAGTTTGTTTTTATGCATAACATAGTTTTTTTTCGGATTTTTTGGATTTTTTTGTTTATTTTGGGCTGGGAGCTCCCTCTGTCCTTGCACGGCCAGGCCCCTCGGGAAAATAGAATGACCCGGGCGGCCCAGCTGGTAGCCTACGAATTTTTGGATTGTTTTTTTTTTCTTTTTTTGCTGGGACCTTCCCTGCTCCTTGCACGGGCGGCGTGTCTGGTGGCCTAGCTATTTTCTCTTTTTATTTTTTCTTATATTTCTATAATTTTGTTATGGGTTAATTGCAAAAATATTGCTTTTTCCAAGTCTGGCTGCAAAAATATTTTTTGGATTTTTTTGTTTTTTTTTGTTTTTATTTTGGCTGGGAGCTCCCTCTGTCCTTGCACGGCCAGGCCGCTTGGGAAAATAGGGTGACCCGGGCGGCATGTCTGGTAACCTAGCTATTTTCTCTTTTTATTTTTTTCTTATATTTCTATAATATGGGTTAATTGCAAAAATATTGCTTTTTCCAAGTTTGGCAGCAAAAATGTTGTCCGTTCGAAGTTTTCGTTGCAAAAATAGAGTTTTTTTTTTGTTGTTTTTTTGTTTTTTTTTGTTTTGAAAAAGGGCAGCCGGGAACCGGGCCCGGCGTCCCTTATATTTCAATAAGCCAGGAAACAGGCGTGAGATAGGACCACTGTGTCACTGCAAACCCTAAGATCCGAAAAAGAATACTAACAAATAGCTGTGTCACTGCAAACCCTAAGATCCGAAAAAGAATACTAACAAATAACAAATAGCTGCGAACCCCGATCATCCAACCCTAAACACACGGCAGATTCAATAACAATAGCTAGTTTCTATGGACCAACAAAATCAACGAGCCAACATAAACCTATTCTCACCACTACCTGCAATCCCAAAACGAAAGTCAGGTATCCAACCCTAGTTTCCACCAACCATAAACTCACAATCACCTGCAAAATATCAATCCCACAATCTAACTATTTTCCTCACATAACAGCATTCCACGTCCAAACCTGCCACAATTTCTACAATCGTTGAAAACAGAATTCCTATTATACTAACAGATAGCTTACAAACCCCGAGCATCCAACCCTAATACTGTTTCAACACACGGTAGGTTCGATAAGTACAGCTAGTTTCTATTAGCCAACAAAAACAACAATCATTCAATACATAATCCCTATTGTCTGCAAAGAACAGAAAAGGCAGCAGACGTAGAACAAGCCCTAGTTTAAACAACAAAACTCTTGACAAATTACGATTTCTATCACAATAACAGCAGCTAGTTTCTGTAGCATAACAAAATCAAGAAAGCAGCATAACTCGTGCGGTCAGCTCCATCGCACCGCGGCACGCTATCGTCATGCGGTTCTGGCAAATTTCCGCCGCAGGCCGCCCACAATTACTCGTAGACAGGATAACCCCGCAGCATGTCCATATCAAAGACCGAAGGACTAAGCCCTCGATCAGTTCCAATAGGTGTGAATTAATCATAAACCAGCTGAAACTCTGGCAAATCAGGTGTGAATCAGTCATAAACCAGCTGAAACTCTGGCAAATTGCAGTGCTCGGATCCCGGCCGTCGAACGTCCACACATCTGCCACCATCCTTCCTCGTTCGAACAGGATTACTAACCCCAGTTAGCCAGGACTGGCCCATGGCAAGGGCTCTTCAGACCCTCTTGCAGCATGTCCCTCTTAGTGCCCACACACTCGATCCCCCACACTCCCACCACCCCAGCAACAAGCGCAACAAGCTCTGGCTCGGCACCACCATCTTTTTGACAGCACCCGTGCGATCCCCCGTTGCCCAAGCATCACCCCCAACGGCGCTGATGCTGAGACAGTGCAGTGACATCTACAAAAATTAGAAACAGGCGCCTTGCGCCCAACGCCCTGGCCAGCTAACGGAGCGCAGCCCTGCGCTTCTGAATTGCGTGGGCCCGGTCAACTTTGTCGGGAACCCGTAGTTTGCCAGCAAAAATGTTGCGTTTTGCCAAGTTTCACAGCAAGGGACCCGTAG